GGCTCGTCAGCCTCACCGGTCTCCCCTTGGCCGCCCTTCTCGCCCCAAGTCCCCCCGCCCCACCTGTCCACCTCGTCTCTCTCTCTCCCCTGCCACCCGGGTTTCCTGCCTCGGACCCGGGGCGCAGCTCACCTAAGGGCCGAGGAAGGGGCCCCCATTCCCGCCCATCTCGCCTGAACTGGAAGTGTGGGAGCAGCCCCCTTTCCTGTCAGCCCCCCGGTGCTGGCTCCTGCCTGCAGGTGCCCAGTGGCCTCCAGCTCCCGAGGCCCCTGCAGACACGCTCTCCCGGCCACACCCTTGCTCCCAGGCACCCCACAGCCCATCTCTGGACGACGGGGCGCCGCCCTGCAACACAGGGCCTTTGCACATGCTGTCTGCTGGAAACACCCGTCTTCCCAAGCCCAGCCTCGCCCCCGCCCCTCGGGGCTCACACCTGGCCCCAGCCCAGGTAAGCCGCCGCCTCCTCCAGGAAGCTCACCCTGCTCCCTGTGCCGGGCGCTGGCTCTAGACGCCCGCGTCACCGGTGGATACCTGCCCCGGCACTCACCTGAAGACGGCTGCTGTCTGTCTTGCTCCCCACTAGCTCCTGGGCGGGGACCACGTTAAATACCCTTACCCGCACGGGGCCTCAAGCAGGAGGCTGGGGAGCGTGTGTCCCACACAGGAGGACGTGGGGCGCAGCCTGGCGGGGTGCCCTGGTCCAGGGAGAACACGGCCTGGTGAAGCCACGGCCCCGAGGCCGCCCCACCCCAGGCCCCGTCGGCTCGCCCACGAGCGGCCCGGGTCCAGGCCCTGACGAGGCGTCGTGGGGGCGCCAGGAGGGTCTGGCCACAGGCGAGCGTGTTTCACAGGGGCTGGGGACCTCGTCCTGGGCAGCCTAACACGGCAGTCAGAAGAGTACAACAGAGTGGGGACACCCAGATTCGGGTCACGGGGCAAGCTGCTCCCAGACTGATTGGGGCAGGAGTGGGGGTGGGGAGGGGAGACCTGCTGTTAAAAAGAGCGAGCTTTGTTCTGCGTATGAAGACAAACCTGGAAGAGCCCCTCCAGCCTTCGGGAGGGCACTGAAACGCTGGCCAGTGCCCAGTGGGGGCTGCCCGCTTCACACCTACACGTCAGCAGGCATTTCCTGGGCCTCCCCGGGGGAGGGGCTGGCCAGGAGGGAGGTGCGGGCCCCTTGGGATGGGGGTTAGGCCCCAGGGGCCGGGAGGGGCATTTCTGTGGGGGCGAGGCCACGTGCCCCTAAACTGCAGTTGTCTGCCCAGGGACCCAGAGTTAGGGGGGCCAATGGGGGCCGGGTCTCCTCGAAACCAGCTCTCCTTCCCAGAAGGCCTGAGGCCTGGCCCCAGCCAGCTGCGAAGCTCGTGCGGCACTCAGACTGAGGCTGCCCTCCCTGACCACTGCCAGACGCAGGGCCGCCGTCCTAACAGGGTCTCAACTGGCTCAGACCTGACAGGGAGGGGTCCAAGGCCACCATGAGCCCCCACAGCTGGTGTCCAGCACCCTAATGCACGTGCCGTGGGTGTGGGTGGCCCTGACCTGGGAGGTGGCTGACCAGAGGGGTGCTGGGGGGGCAGGGAGGGGGCGGCATACAGCCGAGCAGCCCAGGCGGGACGAGAGGAGGCCAGGGCCTGGGCAGAGCACCCAGGATACGTGGAATGTTCCAGATCAGACGCCCCTGCGCTCACAGCCGAGCCAGCCCTGAGCCTCTGAGCAGGGTCTCCCTGGACCTCGGCTTGGTCAGATGCTAGCACTGAGTGACAATTTTAAAGAGGAGGTGCATCTGGGGGCTGGCCAACTCTCTTGAGGTGCTGGTCATGCCACCTCCAGGGTGACCACCTTGTTTGAGCATAAAACCCGGTACTGGGCAAACCGGTTGGTCACCGCCTGTCCTGTCTTGCTCTTCATGCCAACCTACTCCGCGGCGGGGACACGCAGGAGCCCCCCAACACCTGAGCTGTATGCACGGCTCATGCTGCCTGAGAGGATGAGAACACGCTGGTACGGAGACCCCATGAGTGTCCTGGGCGGGGAGCCAGGCCCGCTGGCACAGCCGGGGGGCGGGGCTGGAGGAGCTGGTGGGCGAGGGCGCCAGGGCGTGCGTGTCTCAGGTGTGCGCAGGGCGTGGGGCCAGGTGGGTGGGCTGTGCGCCCGGCAGCCAGCTCTTCTTGGGGAGCCGGGGTACGTCCCGGCGGGCCTGGGGGCCCGGCGCCAGGTGAGGGCTGCTCTCGGCGAGGCCGTGGACTTCCAGGGTACTGTGGGGTCCGAGAGAGGAAGCGCCCCACGCCCCTGTCCCAGCCCCCGTGAACAGGGCCCAGGACACGGTGCTCCCCTTCTGCAAGCGCAGGGCTGACAGCTGAGGCCGGTGCTGGGCGCCGGGGTCCCCGAAAGGCGCGTGTCCGGCGTCCTGACACCGGCCCCTCAGGCGCGTGGCCCCAGTCCTGGGCGCAGGGGGATTTTGAGCTGACCTGCAGGAGCCCTGCAGTGGGGGCAGGGGCCAAGAGTCAAGCGGGCTGGGTCCCTGCGGGCACCAGGGTCCCTGTGGTCACCGGGGTCTGGCGGCCTCACACACCGTGACTCGGTTTACCCTCTGCATGCCGCCTGACACCCTGCGCACTGTGCTAGACCGGCCACCCAGGCCCTCGGGCTCCCCAGGAAGGGCTCCCCGGGAAGGGGTCCCCGCCGTCACACCCGGTGCCTGCACAGTTACCGGCGTGGCACCTGCCAGTCCGGGGCGCGAGGGACCGGGTCCCCCTGCACCTGGGGCGCAGACCCAGCCAGGTGAAGTGACCGGAAAGCAGCTTCCCGCCTGTGTGACCTCAGCAAGGCGTCGTTACCAATACGAGAGCCTCGGACATGACCGGGATGGGAAGACAGGAGCCCCCGGAAGCAAACAAGTGTTTGAGGCGCCCTCAAGATTCTCGAGGCTCCGGGTGAAGGCAAAGAACGAGGTAGCCTCGCGCTCGCCAATTCACCGAGGAGCGCAGAAAGGAAAAGCTGCGCAGACCCGCCAGCTCACTGCGCACGTCTGGGGTACCCCGACTTAAAGGCTGGCGCCCCGGGAGCGCAGTCCGACGGTGCGGGGGCGCGAAGCCGGCGAAGTCCGCGCGGAAACCGCGGCGACACAGACCGCGAGTGCGCGAAGGTGGGAACGAATGGAGGACGGGCCCGGGCCGTGGCGAGTTGTCGAGAGAAATGTGATTCCAGGCACAGAGTGAGACACACACGGCAGGCGGCGGCCGGCCATCAGCCAGGAGGGCCCGTCCAGGGGCCTCTGGGGAGCTGTAACATCCAGCTGGACGCACAGGCAGATGGCGCTGCCAGCTGCCCGGCGTGGCGGCGGGGGCCCAGCGTGCCCGGGAGGGACGTCAGGAGGCGCCGCACGACGGGCGCTGGGAACGCCCAGGCCGAGGGGCGGCCGGCGGGGCTTCAGGGCACCGTAAGAGCCCGAGTCCGGCCCGGTGGCCTCCGCGTCGAAAAGCGAAAGGGCGCGGAAAGCAGCGAGAGCAGCCGCCCGGACCCCGCCCCCACCCGGCAGCGCCGGGCGCGCAGGCACGTGCACATGCAGCCTTTGGCCATGCTCCCCAGCCGGACGCCAATGTAGTGTCTTGTATGGTGCCGGGGCGTGGACGGGGGCAGGACGACACCGCTGGGCTCTACCTTTTCGCACAGGGCAAGCACAGTTCCAGCTTGGATTATTGCAACCTGCTCTTCATTTCTCAAATTCTAAAACACAAAAATGGGCGTTTGACACTGGACCCCACACCCGTGGGCAGACAGTCAGCGTGAGACAGCTGGCACGGGGGTCACCCCCTCAGGCGCGGCATCCACAGGTGGACGGAGGTGGGCTCTGGCCAGGGCGGGGACGGGGCGGGGCCAGCAGCCAACCCCGGGGAGAGGGGCCTGTTGGGCCAGCCTCCAGGGAGGCTGGCGTCGCTCTCTGGCTCCAGGCGTCCCCCTGGGGACTCACTGCACTGTCTCTGGGGTGCTTTCCGCCCCCCTCACTCACAGGTTCGCAGCACCGCCTTAGCTTCAGAACCCCACTTCTAATGCAGGGGACCCCGAGCCCTCCCCCAGGGCCACGGCCATACAAAAGCCTTACATTGGACTCAGTCGCTCTCTTGGACTGGGAATGAACGAAAAGACAGACAAAGCCACACAGCACGCCCGGACCAGAACGAGAACACGGAGCCAGACGCCGGCTCCTCATAGTTACCCCGTTATCGCCAAGGATATCTAACCTCTTCATGAGTTCAGAAATATTCACATCCTGGAAGAGATGCCAGCGTTCACTGTTGGGTCAGTCACAAAAGCATCCAGACCTCGCTCAGACGCCCGCCGGGCCCTGTCCTGGGACTTCCAGCGGGCACCTTCCTCTCGGCTCCGGGGGACGGCCGGAGGCCACGAGCCGCCCTTTCGCACCAGCACGAAGGCTGCCTTCTAGAAAGGCCCAGGCCGCGCGTGGGTCAGGAGGCCCACGGCCCGCAGGCCTGCCGGCACCCAGCACGTGGCACGCACAGCTGTCCGCACAGGTCTGCGGCGCCCTCTCCAGGCGCCCGCTCGGGCGGGCACAGCCGGAGCCCAGCGGGGATGCCGAGGCTCCCGGGAGGCCCAGCTGGGAGGCCCAGCTTCCCGGCTCTCTGCTCTTTTAAGACGGCCCAAACCGGCAGCCCGTTTGGTGGCAAGGACCCCTGAGGCTGGCGAGGGCTAGGGAGCCCTGGCTCGCTGCCCTGCACAACTCCACGCCCCCTCTGGCTGGCCGTGGCTGTGGCGAGGCCCCGCGCACGCTACCTTAACTCCTTCCTGGTGACAGAAGACCTGGAGAGCGCTGCTGGTGTTCTCGGGGAAGGTGCTGATCTGGAGGTTAAACGCAGGCGACCTCCGCTCTCTCTCCTGGGGAAAAGATTTGGTTTAAAGACAGAACTTTATTGGATTATTTACCACTTGCCACTTTCCCATGTTACTCTGCAAAAACCCAGGGGGTCCAGTGGGCAAACATGTTACGAAACAGGGGGACTGGGCCTCGGGTCTCCACGGGGCGGCCCCTCACCGCGGCCACTCCCTGGACGCCCACATGGTCGGCTAGGAGAAAAGGGTTAGCAACCCGCAGAGCCGGCTAGGAGGCGAATCACCTGCTCCCCAAAACAGCCAAGGACCGGGGTCCCCAAGGCCGGGGGAGCCGCCCAGGCTGCACGTACGGCCGAGCGCCCAGGCACGGCCGCGTCCTCACCGTCCCATCCCCACGCCGGCCCATGAGGCAAGGGGGCGCAGGAGGCCAGGACCGGGGACCCTTCCTTTCCTCATGAGCTCACTGCATTCACTTTTGGGGCCGTGGTTGGTTTTGACCCCCACGACCTTGCCTCCCTGCCTTCGATCTCATCAGCCTCAGCCTCCAAGCCGGGACGCACCCGCTGCCCCCGTAGAGGTGCTGATCAGCCGCAGGCGAGGGGACAGGTCCCCCCGGCCGGAGAAGCCCAGGGCCGGGCAGGCGGCGCACGGCAGGGCTGGCTTGGCCTTGAAGCCTTGGGCCACGGGCAGGCCAGTGGCGGCGGCCAGCGGCGGCCCTTTCAAGCCACGCTGAGACCAAGCTGCCTTAATTTTTCAAAATCGCAGGCGCATCCACAAGCCCTTCGGCCGCCCCTGCGGACTCCCCCGGGTCAGACGGGCTTTAAGGAGCAGCCAGGGGCGCTGCGGGTCCGGGGGGGCTCAGCTAACTTCCACCTGGCCCCAGCTGGCTAATCTGGCCGGAGGCAGTTTGGCGGAAAACCTATGTCCCTTATCAGCCCAGGGCGACAGTGCCGCCAGTCGTGAGACGCCCTCTCGGCCACCCCAGTGTCTCCACAGACATGCCACGCAGAAAGCTGCTTCGTGGCAGTGGGGCCACAGCTGGCTCCACAGGCTCTGGAGACAGTGGAGGCGCTTAGAGAACACCCTGGCAAAGGGCGCAAGGCCTGAGGAATCCTCGTGGAAAGACACACGCAGAGGCCCGCAGCACGGCTGTGAG